GTGATCCACCCGCCTCGGCCTCCCAAAGTGCTGGGATTACAGGCTTGAGCCACCGTGCCCGGCTGAGGTTTTATTTTTCAAAAAAGAAATGTAACATATTGTTCAAGAAAGTTGATTGGCATGAGTAAAGTATTGAGGAGCTGCCAAGTGACAGCTTTGGGTGAAACTATTCTTAAAGTCTTCAGCAGGTTGGTTGAGTAGCTTTTAGATAAAACTGGCAGGCAGTTTCAGCAGCCAGCCTTGCAGAGAATGCATTCTTGGAGCAATGTTATGCACACTGAGTGCTTTTTACTACCCCTGGCTTCTCAGCTCTGTTTTAGTTGGGTATGACAAGAATAACATAGTTTGTATGATCAACCTTCACAAAGGCATACTGAACTCCTTCTGTTCCTAAGTCTCTCATTACAAGTCTGTCCAGTTGGTTGCTCAGGTGTCTGGTGGCTCCAGGGTGAGCTGTTCAGTGAGAACCTGTGTATCTGGTGGCGTGTGTGCATTAGGGTGCAGAAGCTGGATACCTACCAGGAGTACAAGGAGGCTGCATCCTCTTACCAGGAAGCCTGGGGCACACTCCGGAAGCAGGCATTTGGATCCTGGATCAGAAACCCACCGGATTATCACCAGTTCAAGTGAGAAGGAAATGTTTGCTCTGGTAGCAGGACCCTTCATTCTGAACTGTCTTCCTCCACGCGAGACAAGCGTTAGCTTTTTTGGTAGCTAAATCAGGGAACATTCTGAGCAGTGCATCTCTGTTGTGTAATACAGATGGAATCTGAAACTTAGAACAGCCTATACTTGATTGAAGTAGCTTTCTGCTAAAATGGCATCTCACTAATGACCTTGCTATCTGACTTCCATTGTGTTTTATTGCTTCTCTAAAATACGAAATCAAGAGTTTGGAGCATGATGCTTTAAAGGTACTCTGCAGCGCTCTGCTTTATGTGTTCCTACATTGATTCAGCAAATATTTATTGAGCTGAAATGATGTTTGAATCTCTGCAAGTCTTACAGCTTTGCCTGGCATAGTGAATTTATGTTTTGTATTCCCAGCCTTTCTTCCTTCAGGGAGCCTTTCTTTTCCCATTCTTCAGTGATCCTGCTCTGAGGCTAACCTTACTCCCTGGCTCTAGGAATAGCCTGTGAGCCAGCCCTGGACCACCCTGGAATTGTTCTCAGAGGTATCAGGAAAGGCTCTCTGTTTTGATCTGGAACTGTGAGAGTCACATAATCATGGGACTGCCGAAGGCCATCTTCTCCTCATACATAGAGAAAGCCAGCAAATAATGAAGGCAACAAAGGACACAGCCAAGAGAATCAAAGATCTAGTAACACTGATTAGATGCCTAAAGCCAGTGCCCACCCTAGATGTCAGTAATGTGAGACAAATTCCTGTTGTTGTTTTGATTATGCCTGTTTGAGTTGGTTTTCTGACTTACAGTTAAAAGAGTTCTGTCCAAAAATTCAGAAGGCGGCCAGGTGCAGTAGCTCATGCCTATAATCCCAGCACTTTGGGAGGCTGAGGCAGGCAGATCACTTGAGGTCAGGAGTTCAAGACCAGCCTGGCCAACATGGTGAAACCCTGTCTCTACTAAAAATACAAAATTAGCTGGGCATGGTGGCACACGCCTGTAATCCCAGCTACTCAGGAGGCTGAGGCAGGAGAATTGTTTGAACCTGGGAGGCATAGGTTGCAGTGAGTGGAGATCACACCACTGCACTCCAGCCTGGGCGACAGAGCGAGACCCTATGTCAAAAAAAAAAAAGAGAGCCAAAAGGCCTTATAGCAAATCAGCAATAGACCCAGCAGCCAATCCTGTTTGAACTAACATCTAATGTTTAACACTCAACTTCGGACCTTGAATGACTGACTGAAAATGGAAGCTCCCATATAGGGGTTACTCAAGGTCCTTATTGATTCTTCAGCATTTTGTAGCTATAAATATTTTTTAATCACACCTGTATTGAGACAGAATTCACAGACCATAAAATTCACCCAACTATACAATGTAAAAGTTTTTAGATAGCGCGCCAAAGACTCACAGCTGTAATCCCAGCATTTTTGGAGGTCAAGCCAGATGGATCACCTGAGGTCAGGAGTTGGAGACCAGCCTGGCCCACATGATGAAACCCCGTCTCTACTAAAAATACAAAACTTAGCCGGGCTTGGTGGTGTACACCTGCAATCCCAGCTACTCGGGAGGCTGAGGCAGGAGACTCACTTGAGCCTGGGAAGTGGAGGTTGCAGCGAGCTGAGATGGTACCACTGCAATCCAGCTTGGGCAACAGAGTAAGACTCTGTCTCAAAAGAAAAAAAAAATAAAAGAAATGTACCCCCTTTCAGTTCCGGAAGCTAGAAGTTCAAACAAGTGGTCAGTGGGGCTTCTATTCCCTCTAAAAGCTTTTGTGCAGGAGCCCCCAATCCCTGTGCCACAGACTGTTACTTGTTTGTGACCTGTTGGGAACCAGGCCATACAGCAGGAGAAAAGTAGCAGGTGAGCAAGCTAAGTTTCATCTGTATTCACAGCTGCTCCCCATCGCTCACATTATTGCCTTAGCTCCACCTCCTGTCATACCAGCGGTGGCATTAGAGTCTCATAGGAGCATGAACCCTATTGTGAACTACACATGCAAGGGATCTTGGTTGCATGCTCCTTATGAGAATCTAATGCCTGATGATCTGTCACTGTCTCCCATACCACCAGATGGGACTATCTAGTCGCAGGAAAACAAGCTCAGGGCTCCCACTGTTTCTACATTATGATGAGTTGTATAATTATTTCATCATAAATTATGATATAATAATAATAGAAATACAGTGCACAATAAATGTAATGCACTTGAGTCATCCTAAAAGTATCCCCCGCCCCCGTCTCCATCCCTGGACCCATGGAAAAACTGTCTTCCATGAAACCAGTCCCTGGTGCCAAAAAGCCTGGGGACTGCTACTCTAGGGAAGACTCTTTCATGCCTCCTCCTTAGCTTCTAGTGGCTTCTGGCAATCCTTGGCTTGTGGCTGCATCACTTCAGTTTCTGCCTCTGTCTTCACATGGCCTTCTTCCCTGTCTGTGTCTCACATGGCCTTCTTCCCTGTGTCTGTGTCTCGCATGGCCTTCTTCCCTGTGTCTGTGTCTCACATGGCCTTCTTCCCTGTGTCTGTGTCTCACATGGCCTTCTTCCCTATGTCTGTGTCTCGCATGGCCTTCTTCCCTGTGTCTGTATCTTCACATGGCCTTCTTCCCTGTGTCTGTATCTTCACATGGCCTTCTTCCCTGTCTGTATCTTCACATGGCCTTCTTCCCTGTGTATGTATCTCGCATGACCTTCCTCCCTGTGTCTGTATCTTCACATGGCCTACTTATAAGGACCCCAGTAATTGGATTTACAGTCTGCCCTAATCCAGTCTGATTTCATCTTAACTAACTATATCTTCGAAGACTCTGTTTCCAACTAAAGTCACATTCTGAGGTTCCAGGTAGACATGAAGTTTTGGGGGACACCACTCAACCCATTGCAGAACCCATTAGCAGTCACTTCCCATTCTTCAACTCCCCTGGCCCAGGGTAATCGTTAATCTACTTTCTATCTCTTTGGATTTGTCTATTCTGAACTTTTCATATAAGTGGAATCATACAACATATGGTCTTTTGTGACTGGCTTCTTTCACTTAACATGTTTTCAAGATTCATCATGTTGTAGCATGAATCAGTACTTTATTCTTTATGGAATAAAAATAATCAGTCGTATAGTTATACATGTTTTGTTTATCCAGTCATCACTTGTTGGAATATGGGTTGTTTTCACTTTTTGGCTCTTGTAAATAGGGTTACTATGAACATTTGTGTACAAGTTTTGTGGAAGCATATGTTCTTAATTTTTTTTTTTTTTTTTTTTTACTTACAGAAGTAATACATGTATGTCACAAGAAGTTATCCTCGAATTTTTTTCCATAAGAAATCATTTTAGATAGGAAAGAAAGAAGGCTGGGCACAGTGTCACCTGTAATCCTAGCACTTTGGGAGACTAAGGCAGGCAGATAGCTTGAGGCCAGGAGTTTGAGACCAGCCTGGCCAACATGGCAAAACCCCGTCTCTACTAAATATGCAAAAATTAGGGGGGCATGGTTTCACATGCCTGTAATCCCAGCTACTTGGGGGACTGAGACACGAGAATCGCTTGAACCTGGGAGGCAGAGGTTGCTGTGAACTGAGATCTCGCCACTGCACTCCAACCAGGGTAACAAGAAACTACGTCTCAAAAAAAAAAAAAAAAAAAGGCAATGACCAACATGGAGAAACTCGATCTCTACTAAAAATACAAAATTAGCCAGGCATGTTGGCACATGCCTGTAATCCCAGCTACTCAGGAGACTGAGGCAGAAGAATTACTTGAACCCAGGAGGTAGAGGTTGCTGTGACCCAAGATCGTGCCATTGCACTCCAGCCTGGGCAACAAGATCAAAACTCCTTCTCAAAAAAAAGGGGAGGGGGGCAAAAATATTGGTACCTGAAGGCCAGAGTCTCCAATATTCTGATTTGATCAGTTTCTTTTGCCTGACCCCAAATCTCACTTTTATGACAGCAGTTTGGATACTTGGGCTGGCAGGAGCTTTTATCCAGAGGATGATGCATCTCTCTCCTCTATGAGACCTTACTTTAAAGGATAAAGACATATTAAAATGTAAAAGGATTAATGTCTTTTTATTCCTAAATTTTATGGTAAATTTGCACCCCCCGTCCCCCAAAAAAAACCCTAAATGTAAATAACAACAACAAATTTAGACTTCAGAATAGAGACTAGAAAAACCCTTGAAGGCTCCGGGCGTGGTGGCTCATATCTGTAATCCCAGCTCTTAGGGAGGCATAGGCGGGAGAATAGCTTGAGCCCAAGAGTTAAAGACCTGCCTGGGCAATATAGCAAGACCCCGTTCTCCACAAAAAAAAAAAAAAAAAAAAAAGACAAAAAAAAAAAATAGAAAAACCCAAAGGCTAGGGACTATAGGCAGCTTCGCTTTGGACTGTACCTGTTTTCTCAGGAGCTAAAAGTGGTGCTGAAACATCCAGCATCCTACATTTTATTTTAATCTCTTAAAACCCAAGTTTAAAATCTCATCTATGCCTTAAAATCACATCTCTGCAATCTTGGCAGGTGCTCAAATTTCATACATTTATAAAATATGTTTTTACTGTTTCTTTTTTATTTCTAACAGCAGGTGAAAGGATTTTTTATTTTACTAATGTTTCTTAACCTATTTTTGGCTGATGACTGCTTCTAATTTTTAAATACATTTTCTTTTTTGAACTTGTTATGGACATTTTTAAATAGTCACAAATATAGACTAGCACAGCAGACTCCCATGAACCGTTACCCAAACTTAGCATACATCAGCTTTATTGCTGCTCGTTTGATCTATTGCCTCCTCCCCTCCAACATTTTTTTCTTTGACCATTTAAAGTAAATCCTAACCTTCATATTCTACCCAAGAGAATTAATATCCTTAATACCTAATATGTAGTCTGCTTAGTTTTCTCATGTTGTCTCAGAAATGTCTTTTGACTATTTATTTGTTCAAAATAAAATCCGAGTAAGAGCCACACTGTGCCTTTGATTGACAGGTTTTTTGTCTCTTTAAATCTATAACAGTTACCCTTTCTCTGTGTTGAAAGGTGGGGTTTTTGTCCTGTAGAATTTCCCACATTTTGTATTTCACTGCTTATTTCCTCCCAGTGTTGTTTAAAGGTTCCTGTCTCCAGTATTTCCTACAAATGTGCAGTTACACATAGAGGCTTGATTAGATTCAGGTGCAGTTGATCTGACATGACTACTTCCTGAGTGACTCTGCATCTTTGTTTTGCATCGTATGGAGAGGAACGTAACATCTGGTGGTTCTACTTGCTGTAATTGAGCAGTGGGGATCTGTGGTATCAGTCTGGTCTTTTCCACTGTAAAGTAACCCACCACCCTTCCAAACCTGATGGTTCTAGCAGCCATGTCAGGGGTCCCTGAAACCACCCTTATGTTTGATGATTCATTAGATGGACTTACAGAACTCAGAAAAGCTCTGTTACACACATCATTTCTGTTTATTTTAGTGAAAGGATACAGAGTAAAATCAGCAAAAGAGAAGATGCATGAGCAAAGTCCAGTGGAAAACAAAACACAAGCTTCTAGTTGTACCCTCGGTATGAACCTTGCATGTTTGGTTCTTTGACATGGGAGGGGGACCATGCTCCCTTGGTAGAGAGATTGTTCCTCCCAGGGCTAGCCAATTCCTGGAAACAGAGTAAATGACTCACCTATTACTGTTCATTTCCTGTGTAAAGCAACCAATCTGGAGCCCATTCCCCAACCTCTCCTTTACAGGACAGCTCATACTCTGGGCCAATATCTCATACTCTGGGATATCCACCTGCCCCAATCACCCCAGGGCCAGATACAGCAAGCTAGGGACAGCCCCTAGTCTCCAGAGCCTGCTGAAATTATTCAGACTTGCCAGTCTGCTTACTCGGCCTTGCCCCTTCCTTCCCATGGAAATCACAAGGCT